ACTTCCCTAATTGTTCCAAATGTCTTTGTACAACTGTTTTTTTTTTTTTTTCTAAGCAGAATCCAAAGAAAGGAACATGTTGCATTTAGTTATATTTTTTAATCCTCTTTGCTTAAGCATTTTATTGCCATAAAATGTACACACAGTAAAGTGGTCACATCACAAGTGTGCCACTCCTCTGGTACACACCCTCGCAACCAGCTGCCAGGTTAAGAATGAGAACATTGCCAGCACCCCAGACGTCCCCACTGTGTCCCCTTCTACCCACTCCCCCCACCAAAGGTAGCCACTGTCCTGACCTCTCCCGGCACAGGCCGTTTTACATGGTTTTGAATTTTATGTAAATGGGACCACATGGCATGTATTCTTTTTCTGTCTGACTTCTGGAGGTGTCAGGTTTGCGAGGGTCTCATGTGGCGTCTCCTTCTAGCTTCAGCACAGTCCCAGACAAGCCTGCTTCTTAGCGACAGCTGCGGCCGGCTCAGCCCTGGCTGTGTGCTAGAAATAAGTCTCCGTCCAGAAAATTAGCCTTCTGACAATCCAAACTTGACGTCTAGGGGAAAAGAACGCACCCGCCCTTCTCAAATTGCTGTCCTGAAGGCCAGCGGACATTCAAATCTGTGGTCAGTGCAAGATGTCCTGTGACTCCAGCCTTCCTGGCTCTTCCCAGACACAGCTCTCAGGCCCCCTGTCCTCGTCCGCCTCTGGGTGCCAGGACCTTAAAGGAAGCCGAGTGTGTTCATTGTATTCATTTTGTAGGGCTGCAGAGACAAAGGCCCACAAACTTAGTGAATTAGAACAACAGAAGTTCACTCTCTCACATTTGTAGAGGCCAGAAGTCCAAAGCCAAGGTGTCAGCAGGGGGCGGTTCCTTCCGGAGGCTCTGAGGGAGAATATATTTCATGCTGTTCCCCCAGACTGCAGCGGCTGCCGGCAACGCCCGGCGTGGCTTGGCTTGTGAAAGCTTCTCTTCACTCTTTTCCCCTCTGCACACAGCCTTACCCTCTGTGTGCCAAAGTCCCCTCTCTCTTCTCTTCTAAGGATACCAGCCACTGAGTTTAGGACCTACCCGAATTCAGGACGTTCTTATCTCAAGATCCTTACCTTAGTTGTATCTGCAATGATCCTTATTCCAAGGAAGGTCACTTTCTGCAGTTCAGGGGAAGAGAACTGCTTCTCTTTCAGCCTCTGCCTACAAATGCAGCCCTGCCTGCCCATCCTTCCTTCCAAGTAAGTCAAATAAATTAATGGTCCCCGTTCTTTGGGATTTCATGGACCATTGCAATTTAGATAGACAGATAGATAGACAGACAGCTACATAGAGTGGCCAGCTTTTTTCTTGGCAAGTACAAATATTAACACAACCAATGATCCTCTTCCATTGTGATCATTTCATAAAACGAAGAAGATGCCAACACTAAAAAAGAAGGAAGGATCTAATCTCAGAATAAAAGATAGTCCTTATAAACTGAATAAACATAACAATATGAAAACATACAACAGGATTCTTATTTCTCACATTGTGGATCAATGTTCGGGAATTATGAATCTAAGTCATTTCGTATTCAATGAGAAGTTACTTTACTGCAGGAGGAAGCCCCAAAGTGAAAAATTCAAGATTCTCGTAGTTGAAGGACCCTCAGGACTCATCCGGACCAGCGTGGTATAGTGCAAGGAGTGAGGCCAACGATCTTGGCCTGAATCCCAGCACAGCCGCATGTGAAGTTGGCAGTGGGAGGGGCCAGGGGCAGGAGGCATAGCTGGCCGAGCTCCTAAATCTCCCTGGCCCTCAGTCTCTGCCCTTGCAAAGTGAGACTAAACTAATGACCTCCTCTCAGGGCCAAAGAGACGGTGTTAGGTGTTTCCAGCAAGGCCCAACGAGTTCCACCTCCCTCTCCCAGAATCCGGGAGCCCATTGTCCCTGGCAGTGGTCCCGGCCTCTGCTTGCACACTTCCTGTCCATGAAGCCCCTCACTCCCTGGTGGCAGCTCTCGGGAGCAGGCCCTGCCCTGCCGAGCCCCTGCCCTCTTCTCTGGCACCTCTGAGAACTGCTGCGTTTCAATTCCTCCATCACAGCCTTCCCAACATCAGAAAACAGCAATCGGTCTGCCCTGGGTCTTCGCTGCAGCAGGAAATGGCTGCCCAGAAAAAAATCCCGCTAAAGATGATCAAACATCCTCATATGAAACCAGGTTGTAGTAACCAAAGGAAGGATTTATAACACACTTTATGATCTCCTCCCTACCCTAAGTCCACAGGGGGAAAAATAACTTTTTTTTTTTTTTTTTGAGACAGGGTCTCGCTCTGTCACCTCAGCTAGAGTGCAGTGGCATCATCGTAGCTTACTGCAATCTCAGAATTCCTAGGCTCAAGGGATCCTCCTTCCTCAGCCTCCCGAGTAGCTGGGACTACAGGCACCTGCTACCACACCCAGATAATTTTGGGTTTTTGTTTTGTTTTGTTTTGTAGAAACAGGGTCTCGCTATGTTGCTCAGGCTGGTCTCCAACTCCTGGCCTCAAGGGATTGTCCTGCTTCCACCTCCCAAAAGTGCTGGGATTATAAGCTTGGGCCACCACACCTGGCCAGGATCACTTCTTAAATGACCATTTATCTTATGCAAACATACCACAGGGTCCAAAGGGAAGCAAACACTGGCTGCCTATGGCTACAAAAGCACATCATAATATTTTTCAGAGAGTTTAGAAGCAGAGATCCAAATACCCTCTCTACATGAGCGTATATGAATGTGAATATCTAAATTCTGAAGACACCGGTTATTTTACAATTCCTATTTCCTCCCCATCAAAGAGGAGGCATCTGTAACTGCTTGTTCTAGAGAGTACAATCACTCTGCAGCGGTTCTGGCCTGAGTGGGGAGGGCTGGAGGAGGGAGGGTTGGAGGGATCGAGCTGAAATTAACACTGTAGGAAGTGTTGAGCTGAAATTAACACTGTAGGAAGTGTTGAAGGAGAACACATTCTATGGAGGACACTTCTCTGTGTAGACATGCCTTGGTCAACAGGAAGGGGGAAGTTCCAGAGCACCGGGGCTTGGGAAGCGCGAGCTCCAGACACCATCTTCTTCATCCCAAGCTGTCTTTTACTCCAAGCCGGTAATATGGTTTCCAAAAAGGCACCCCACCCCCTCCACATCTGGGTCTGACTCTAGCCCTCCAGCGAGCGTCCTGTGTGGGGTGGGGAGGGAGTTTTATTGAGACTGGGATGAATAGCCCACCTTCCCTGATAAAATTGTTGTGTAAAGAACTCCCTCGCATCCCACTCACAAACAGGGCTATTTGTAAATGCTGATGTGAGTGGGGCATGAGGTAGCCTGGAAACATGAAAAAAGAAGCCCAGGATACCTGGAGAGGGAAGAAGGCAGAAGCCAGGGACCGAAGGTGGGCAGAAGGTGGGCGATTGGAGGAGGGAGAGCAAGCAGAGGCTTGGGAGAGCGCTGCGTGAGGAGAGTTATCCAGGACAGAGGAGAGCGGGAGAACCAGGGGACTCAAGATGCAGGAGGAGAGAGCTTGGGCCCCGAGAGCGAGAGCAGTGGCCACCTGAGTCCACTGCAGGGGAGGCAGCAGGCTCCTGCCAGCAGAGCGGGCCCATGTGAGTGGGGGGGGTCCTGAGTTTGACCAGTGGAAGGAAGAGGAAGGGAGGAAAGAGGGAGGGTAGCTGTTCATTGACTCACTCATTTAATTAAACATATACAGAATCTTTTGGGTACAAAGCACTGCACTAGACACTTTGGAGACAACTCAGCGATGAACCAGGGCGGTGACTTGGTGAACACCTTCCGGGCAGGGGGCCTGGGCTCTCTTGGCCTCCCCTTCCTCTCAGACAAAACCCATCCTCAGCAAAGTGTCTAACACCAATCATTTATGCTTTATTACCTTACTGTAAATGCATGGACATTTGCACTTGAACTCACACAATTACGGAATGGAAGACTCTAGCACCACATTAAATGAATCTGAGAAAGCACTGTCCTGGTGGAGACGCATTTGGTGGGCAAGCAGTTCATCTCCAAATTTCTGAAATTGCTCCACACGGGTGACCACCTGTGTCCCTTCCCAGGAGATGAGGGAGCCCCAGTGACTGAGAGGTTTGTAGATGGGCCCTAGATGAGACATTGGCGTAGGCAGTTGAGCAAGACTCCACCCCTTTACCGGGCTACGAATGGGAAGGTGGAAATCCGCCTTGATGTAATTAACAAGGAGGGTGGGGAAAGGTGGTATTTGGGTCTTTGAAAGTCACACTCTGAACCTGAGTCGCCACTATCCCATGCTGGCAGAGCACGTGAAATGCCAGGCTACACTAAATGGTCTTCGCCAGCCTACACCTGGCCCAGCAGGAGCACACTGGGTACAAATCCCCGCTGTGGCAGTGCCTTACCCTGTGATCTTAAGTAAGTCACTTCACCTCTCTGAGTCTTCACTGCCTCATCTGTAAAATAAGACTAATGCTTAATTCACAAGGTTATTGCGCAGTTTCAATTTGATAAAGGAGTGTTTGATGTAGTGCCCGACACAGCACAAACACACACACACACACACACTCGTGGGCAAATATTTATACATAAAGTATCACTCTTCTAACAGGCAAATGACACCATTTAGAGAGAGCTTGCCACACGCTAGGCATTTCTTCCAGTGCATTATATGCCTTAACTCATTTAACCCTTTTGGAAATCCTTGTGAGAGAAGTAGTATATTATCCTATTTTATAGATAAGAAAACTGAGGCACAGAGAGGTTAAGTAACTCCCTCAAGATCACACAGCTAGAAAGTGGTTGTGTCTGAAAATAAGATGCCGTTCAATAGACTGCACCTTTTGTTTGTTTGTTTGTTTGTTTTTAAAATGGCATTACCATTTCCTGTTTTAAATATTAAAAGAAAATTGTTTAAAATAATATAATATTTATCTCTCACAAGAAAAAATACCAGCTTGGGTGGTTTCTTATTTACGTGGATTTCATTTGATTTTCCTTTTGGCTTCAGCACGTAAATGCTGTTTCCCCTCAGCGAGAGCTGGGCTAGGGGTGGATGCTGAGTGCAGAAAGGGTGTGTGGGGTCCCTCGGCTTCACTGTTGTTTCTAACTGTTGTCAGTACCAGGTACCCGGTGCTGAGGAGCTGTGATGATGGAGGCTCTCCCCAAAGCCCTGGAGGTCGATGAGAGGTGTCCAGAAGCCAAGGACCTGCTGCCCAGCCAGACTGCCAGCTCCCTGTGCATCAGCTCCCGAAGTGAGTCTGTATGGACCACCACCCCCAGGAGTAACTGGGAAATCTACCGCAAGCCCATCGTCATCATGTCTGTGGGTGGCGCCATCCTGCTCTTCGGCGTGGTCATCACCTGCTTGGCCTACACCTTGAACTTAGGCAAGAAGAGCCTGGAGGCCCTCAAGATGACCGGGCCTGCGTTCCTGTCCCTGGGACTCATGATGCTGGTGTGTGGGCTGGTATGGGTGCCCATCATCAAAAAGAAACAGAAGCAGAGACAGAAGTCAAGTTTCTTCCAGAGCCTCAAGTCCTTCTTCCTGAATCGCTGATGGTGGTTTCCCTGCCACCCTGCCACCTTGATCAGGAAAAGAAGATCTGATGACCAACATCCAACATCCCCATTTCCTCCGTGGGGTGCCATAAAACTGATCCAGGCAAACTGTCACCTGGCCCTGCGGGAAAAATAGGGCACAGCGCTGCACCCTACACGGGAACGTTGCTGGATGTATCTCACTTGGTCTCTCTGTTATTACTGAGGCTTCATTGGATCCTGGCTGCAGCCATCCCTCCTGCCTTTTGCATCCCAGCTCCTGCATCACTCATCTAACTCTCCACCAAGTGCAGTGCATGCTGGGAAATTCCTTGGGGGTGGGCTCTGCCCCAAGGAGAACCTCACGTTCACATATCTGAGTGCCTGAGCTGAATTCCTCATTCGCATTCTTCTGGAACCAAAACTGACCCATAGACGTCCTTTACAGAGAAGGGAGAGAAGGCTGAGTTCTGACCCACTGGGTTTGACAGCCCCAGGTCCCTTGGTGGGTGACACACTGACTTGCATTTCAAGAGACCAGACACATCACAAGTATCAAACATTCCAAAGACTGAACAGTAAAGGGAGACCCGGGAACAACACTCTCCAGGACGGCACATGCCCCTGGACATGGCTCTAGGAGTTAGCCCATCGAGGAGGTTTAATTCCCAATCATATAATATTTATGCCAGAGGCAGTGGGGTAGGCTAGGGGGTGTCACGGTTTACCCTTGACCTCCTAACCCCTTCTCATTGACTGCTTCCATCTCTGAACTTGGCGATTAGCCAAGGACAAATGCATGCTGCCCTAACTCCTTCTTTCCTCCCACCCTGCCTCCACCCCAAGTCTAGAACAGCAAGACGGAAAACTACGCAGGGATTCTGTGAGATGTTCTCCCCTTCACCTCCATCAAGAGCAACACTGAGAGGACCAAATTCCACATCCTAATGATCAATAGGTTTCTGGAGATGGAATTCACTTTAGAAAATCCCAACTTCTGTTATCCCTGTCCCCATTCACCAAACAAGCCAATATTGATTGAGTGCCCTGCTCCAGGCCAGGCCCTGGGTTGGGAGTGTCCTCCTGTCATCTTGCTTTCCCAAAGCGAGACACAGCCCAGCCTCTGCGAATTGGAATACCCTGTTCTGAGTTCTTGATGGGGGAGATGTGGGTTTTGAGGGGGGACACAGGAGGTGGCTACCCCAGACTTGGGAGAGGAGAGAGAGAGCCCCGGAGGCCATGACATCTAAGCTGAGGACAAAAGGAAAAGCTGAGAGTTAGCAAAGGGGAAAGGAAGAGCATTGGAGGCAGCAGGAACAAATCTTGGGGGTGTCGCAAGTGCCATGTCACTAGTTGTAGTTCTAGTGCCTCAGTGAAAGAGTTTGCAGATCATTTTCCTTTCTTCTGACATGAATGCAAATTTGAAGTCGGCCCTATGATGTCACTCTTGCAGTCCTTGATCTTTCTTAGATGGTGAGTCAAGGGGGTGCACTCCTAGCTGGCTGTCTGGGAGCCCGCACTCCCTGCACCCCATTCCCTCTGCCCGAGAGCCTATAGTCTGGGCACAGCTTTGGAGGAGGGCCCATGTGACTGCTAGTCCCATGGATGTCTTAGTGAAAGGAAGTTTGGGAACAACCATGACTCTAGAAGGAGCCCAAGTTCTGGGCTTATTTTGCAGAGTCCAGCTCTACCTGCCTCCATTCTCTGCCCCCTCAAGATAGTTTCTCAGCGGAGAAAAATGAGGAAAGATGTCCAAGCATCATTCATCCTACTGGGAGTGTGGGTAGGAAACATTCTGGTGTCACACTGAGGCAGGACACTTGGAGGCTTTTGCCAAAGCCATCGCCCCATGGAAGCCTGAGTTGTGGATGCGCCTGGTCTGTGAATGCAGCCCAGGTCAGACGCCACGTTTCTGCTGTGAAGCGTCACCTGCAGAGACTCCTCTCATGTCTGTGGATCAGAGAACAGGGCCAGCATCCACGTTTTAGGCTCACTAGATTGTTTTATGCCCTTGTAGCTATTCTGTTTGGGAGAGTTTGGTCTAATCTGAGTCCTAAAGGAATAGATGTAATGTTGAATTGTATTCTGTAATATTTAACAGCATCCACTGTATTGTCATTCTGTTCCATCAAGAATTCCAAGACGATGTCCTCTAACTCATTCCCGTAAAATGTGTCCCATCTCCCATTGCCGCACGTCCTTCCTCCCCCAGTGCTGCCTGGGCAAATAGGGACTGGGTGGGTTTCGTGCATTGTTCCTCAGGAGCCTTGTAGGAGCTGATGACCTGGCTCAGAGATGCTGATGGGGCAGAGACCAGCAATTCCTGACCCTTCCCATTCCCACAAGCCAAGTATTAACACCGAAAGAGAGAGATGGAGAAGGAAGCTTCCAGAATGAATCAGTGATCCAGGCTGAGCCTGGAAGCTGCTCTAGGGTCAGCCTGTCCATGTACCCATGAATTAAAAAGAGCAGGCACCAGAAGGGGGGCAGCTCAGCCCCCTGGGACCTCCCTGGCCTCCCACTTCCTTCCTCCTCTTCTGCCTCTCAAGCTCTTTGATCTCTTCCACTTGGCTGCCCACCAAACTCACCATAATCTTGGCTTTCTGCTTCCCCACATTTGCACGGTCCTTAAAGGAAAAGAGGAGGAGGAGGATGCTGGGTCTGGGTAGAGCAGAGATATTTCATTCCTCCTGCAATCCCTGCAGCATTGTCACAATCACCACACCCCGCACCTCCTGGCCTCAGACCCATCGCTTCATCACTATCCTGGTGCTCAGAGGGCAGAGGGCACAGGGACACTACCACCCGGAGCCCCACATGCGTCTGATATTAAATGCGTGGAAGGGGACTGCCTTGGGGTGCACCTGGTGCCACTGCTGGGCAGCACCAGCCAGGTGCCCTGGGGGTTTGGGGCTATGAGAAGGGAGCGAGGAGGAGAAGGGCTAAGAGGCCGCTGGCAGAGGCATGCTGCAGTGGGGGTGGAAGAGCAGAGGAAGGGCACAGGCTGAAAATGATGACAACTTCTTGGGTGCTCACTGTGTGCCAGGAACTGATCTAAGCTCTCCATGTGTTCTCTCATTTAACCCTTTCCAAAAACCCCATTTGGAGGTCCTATTGTTACCATCATTCTCATTTTACAGGTGAGGTAAGTGAGGCACAGGGACACCAAGCTAGGATAGCATTAAGCCAAGATTGAATCCCAGCAGGTGCAGAGGTCACGCCCACAATCCCCACCCCACACAGCTCTCTAGATGCCTCTGCAGGAGGCACCCGGGCGCCGTGGGGGAGCTGGGCTGTGCGATCCATCTCTCTGATCCCTTTAGCAGCTCCCTAACTCACCTCCTCCCTCCGTATTGTTCTCCCGTATCCATGCTACATCCTGCACCAAGGTAATCTTTTTTCCCAAATGCAAAATCTCAACGAGCCTCTTCCTTTGTAAAATCCTTCCACAGCTCCACGCTCTCCTGTCCCGAAGTCTCAGCTCCCCAGCTCAGCTTGCGAGAACTCAGCTCCTCCACTCCTCCTGGCAGCAAGTATGCTCACTCCCCACTGAACTTCTCGCAGACCCTCACAGCCCCCCTTGCCCCTTCCCTCAGCAATATGCCCGGAAGAGAGCCCTCACCTGACCCGGACCACACCAGCTCCCTGAGCTCAGACTTCCAGACTCCATAACCGTGAGAAATAAACGTCTGTTGTTCATAAGCAACACAGGTAATGGTGCTTTGTAATAGCGGCCTGGATGAAGACAGTGGGCATTCAGTAAAACGCAGATATTGTATCATCTCTGTCACAGGGAGAGAGGATTTCGGGCTACAGCCATAATGCAGGAATTCCCAATTCCTCAGTAAAAATAGCTTTATACTTGCACATGTAAAGCCATAAATAGACCCTTTCAGGTAGGACATAGATATCGATTTCAAACAAAGAAATGCAACATTTTGGCAACCAAGTGCAGGGTCACACCTGTGGCATGATTGTGATGATTAGAGACCCTCGTAAGACCTGACTAGCCCACACATGCACATTTTCACTTAATTTTGCTCAGGATCCAAGTAGGCACCTCACAAAAGTCAGATAAGAACCCCAAGTAAATAATTCTGGGAAGGGTTGCCCACCACTCCTCTGGTGCCCATTCACTGGGAAAAGGAAGAGAAAAGCCCCGTGGATTGTGCCTGCGGGAACTGCCACCCACCTGGGAAGAGTGTGACCGCCTCTGGGCCTGCACCAAGGGTGACCCACCGTCAAGGCCAGAGCAGCCGCTTTCGGGTTCACCCCAACCAAGGGATGAGAGGGAGCGAGGCCGGCTCCAGGAGAGCCCTGAGAGTGAGAAGAGACACGCTGCGTGGGTGTGGGGCGGGTGTGGCCGCAGCGTGGCCAGACAGGCTGCCGCGGAGCGAGGCGTGCCTGCTGGGTCCTGAGGAGAAGACGGGTGGCCGGGGATGAGGCCCGACGCCCCGTGGGAAGGGCACGGGCAGCTGACAGACAGTGTCCCGTGAGGTCTGAGAAAGACAACATTCTTCCATTCCTTCACTCAACAAATAGCCATTGAGCACTCCTGAGCACCCCGCTGGGCCCTGGGGAGAAGAAGGGCGGGAACAAAACACAAAATCCCTGCGTTCCTGAGCTACTCCCTGCCAGGAGCAGGCAGGCCACCAGTGAGATGGTGCTGCGAGGAGGAGGGCTGTGAGTCAGGAAACAGGCCAGGCACAGGGCCCAGCGACGTGCTGCTCATCAGGGTGGTCCCTGGAGGCCTCTCTGGGAGGGGACATTTGCACTGAGACCCAGATGAAGAGGAGGCGGCCAAGTCAAGGTCTGGGGCAGAACATTCCAGAAGAGGGAAGGGGAAAAAGGGCAGAGGGCTCCCTGTGGAGGTAAGAAGTTGGAGCCCCCATCTCTCCTCTTCTCACCCCCACTCTCCCCTCCCCACCATGGTGTGACTTCCTCTCCACCCCGCAGACGTGGGCCTTGCTGGGCGATGCATCTCATCCAGGTGGTTCTTCCCGCTCTCTCTGGTTCATA